TTCCTCCACATTTCTATTTTATTAACATAAACGCTATTTTTAATGACAGCCTGATATTCCATACTATTGATATATTTTGCTTAAACATTACCCTGTTATTGGACATTTGATTATTTTGTTATTAGTGATGATCTTATAAACATATTTGTATATGATGCTTTTTCTTTCTTTTGAATAATTTATCTGGCAACTGTTCCCAGGAGTATAATTTTTGATTTTGTGTCCAACATTTAAAACTTTTTCCTTCCTTCCATGTAGTTCCAAAGAAGCAACTACTTTCAATACGTGATGGAATGAAGTTGCAATGAAGTCATCTTTATGTAGGAACACACTCTCTATACAAGACTGATAATGTCTGTATTATCATCATTGTTGTTATCATTCATTCATTCAACAAACATTTATTATTCACCTAGGATGGGCCAAGTCCCCTCTGGGTGGGAAGAAAGTTACAAAAAGACGCCAGAGATTTACAAAATAGTGGGTGAGAAGCTCCAAATACAAACATCACTTTATTTACAAACCTTCCAGGTTGATTCTGTGTGTCTTCTTATGCATAATGTGAAATCTATATGCAAGGTGAAAAGAGGCATTTTCTTCTCTCAAGGTGTCAATCTGATATCACTCATCTAAACATATAAATTTTATAGAAGCCATGGTGATATCTTCTAAAAAGGGAGTCCCTGTCTCTAAGAAGTCATAAATGCCTTTTTTTCTGTATGTCAATTTTATTAAAACAAAGAAGGCAATGATAATATTGTTTGAATCTTCACATTGGAGGAAGAGAGAGAAATCGTTATAAGCCCACCACCAGATTCCTTCTTTTGACGGGTGCCCAATATAAAAGTTTGAGTTATAGAGGCTTAAACTTTGTGTTCTATAAGAGCTACTGAACTTTTCACAGAAGAAATAATAAAAATTTAACCTTTTTTTTAGCCTACCACATCCTGAGTTCAGATTTGCACCTTTTCATCAATGTAGCTGAAATTCTCTAATAGTCTCTCTCTCTTTGTCTGTCTCTCTTTTCAACAACATCCTGCTGAGAACAATTGCCAGTACTTTTCTCTACATGCTTTGGGGCTGATATGCCTGTGGCTACCACCTACTTAAACTGGTTGATTAATAATGTAATGAATGCTTTCTTAAGGAAACAGTATAACATTATGGAAACTACCCCAGTTACCACTGATAAAGAATTATGTTGATCTAGATGTTTTGTTTATGGATCAGTACTTTCTGGTTTTCTTGAGAACTAAGAGTGACAGACATTCTCCTTTCTTTTACTTTTAAACTTTATTAAATATTTGCTTCCCTTTCAATCAAACTTCATAAACTTTGAGAGTCTCATTTCCATTAAGTCAGAAATATGAGCCACTAGAGTTACCTAGCTACCATAGGCAAAGTGAGTTAGAGATCAGTGCTTCTAGTCACTACAATATCAGTTAACCCCTAGAATAGTTCTTTTTGGGATCATTCAATTTGATGAAAGTTCTAAGTCCTCTCACTTATACATCTATGTATAAGACTGTTTTTCTTGGGAGGAAACCAACTTTATTACCATAATTACATAACTATAACACCCCCCCCACGCACTTTTTTGCATACAATTTCAGAAGGTTCCTGACCTCTGTTTCCTCAGAGAACACCTACCCTGCGATGAATTATGTTAACCAGCCAACTTGAATATCTGAATGGCTAAGAGGCAGGAGAGCCTGGGGCTGGGAGGAGACAGTAGATCACAAAAGAGAAATTTTATTAGATTCATCCCGAGGACAGGTTATTACACTTAAGGCCCTCACCAGAATGAAAGAGGATTTGGAGTCAGAAGGCCTTGGTTCAAATCAGTGCCCTCTTCCTATCCCCTGCTTTTTCTAATTAACTGTATGACTTTAAGCAAGTTGTTAAACCTCTGTGACACTTAAATTTCTTGTTTTCTGTATAATAGAATTTCGGTAGACTTCTTCTCAGGGTTATTGTATGATTAAAGGAGAGAATATAGGAAGGCATGTTATTAAGTCCCAAATGAGCATGAGGTATGATAATTATTAATCCACTTGCCATTACCTTCATCTTTAGGTTGATTGCCAGTTTTATCATTCAGCTCTCAGCTCCACTGTCAACTTCCTCAGGGAAGCCTCCACACCACCAGATCTAAAGTAGCCTCCCTCCCCATCACTCTCAATTCCATCAAACGGCTTTATTTTAGTCAAGACACTTCTCACACATGTAATGGTTCCATTTTTATTTGCTTAGTGATTACTTACTGTCTTTCTCCTCACACCAGAATAAAACTCCTTGAGGGTAGAGCCCTGTCTTGTGTTCCCTTAGCATGTAACAGTTCATGGGACATGTTAGACACTCAAATTTTGGAGAGTCAAGATAGCAGTGGTTTATGACGCAGACTCCAGAGGAAGACTACCTGGATTGGAAACCCAGCTTTTCAAGTTACTAGTTGGGTGACATTAGGTAGGTTATTTAACTTCTCTATGCCTCACTTTCACCACATATAAAAAGGAGGGATTCTGTGAACATATATTTTATAGAATGGTAATACATATAAAGTACCTACACAGTGCTTTGCCGATTGTAAGTCTTATATAAATGCTGATTTATACTCTTCAGTGAGTTCGAATGAAGTATTAATAGATTAATATGAGAGTACATGTGACCTTTAGGTATGACAGTGAAAAGACTTTTTTGATAAAACTCGTTGCTTCGCTCCACTGCACTGTCAATCGCCTGGCCCCCCACCACTTAGCGGAAGAGGAGGTGCGGTCCCCAATTCCGACAGAGTCCCATGTCACCTGCAGGTGGCACTGCTCAGAGTTCTCCCAGGCCAGGCAAGTCCGAGCCCTCGCGGGGAGGTTCTCCCGGCGCAGTTAGCCGGGCCTAGGAGGCCCAGAGTGGCCTCCGGGAACACAAAGGACGCTCTTGCGACTTCCCCGGGACTCCGGCTCAGCTGTGGGAGCCGGGGCGCGTCTCTGACCCACTCAGGCCTCTTGTCTCAAAGTCCTGACAGGGTACTGGGAACCGGTCGCCTCCAGCCTTCGTGAGCGAAGGCGGAGCGATCCGGGGACGGGGCGGAGCGATAGGGGGACAGGGCGGGCGGGACGATCGTGGGCGGGGCTGGCCGGCGCCGAGTTCTGGACTCAGCGGCGCGGTTCGGAGTTTGCATTTTCTCCCGCTCCGCGCAGCCGGCGCACTCCAGCCAGGTAAGGGAACCGTGGGCAGACAGGGGCACCCCGGGGACTGCGGGACTTCAGGCGCGGAAGGGTCCGGACAGGAATGTGCGCGGTGAGAGGTGGCTTTCACCTGCTTAGAGACTGACCAGAGACTGACCCTCGTGGAACGAGGAAGGATTTTTCTCCCTTCTGCGCTGCGATGAGCGCGGCGCGCTACGCCAGTGAGGGACCGCGGCCCCTCCTCCGGTCCGGGAAGAAGGGACAGGTGCGCGTCTCGGCGTGGCGGTGCGGTTCGGGCGGCCGCCGCTTCTCTCTCTGCCTCCCGGGCTCCGGAGCTGGCCTCTCGGGGGCGCATCCGCCACTTTTCCACTTGGGTCTCGGGGCCAAGGCCGCTCCTCGGCAAGTTCAGCATTGGGTTCACTTTCCAGCTGCGCGGGAGGGTAGGTAGATTCCTCCTGTCTACTTGGGCAACAGCAATGGCTTGATTGAAAGTTGGCAGAATCCACGCAGACATTCCACAGTTGCACGTGTCTGAGTGCCTCACTCCCGCAACCTCACATTTTTTTTTTTTTTTTTTTTTATATTGGACGTTTTTCTATGA